GGGCAAAGAATGATAAGAAATTTCTTGGTTTCGTTGTATGATGTCAACTGGTCGATTTAATTTGTAAACAATCAAATAAATTGTCAACACCTTAAGCCAGAGAATATTTGTGCATTAGTATAGGAGCTATTTTCGCATCATGTAGCCGTAATATGTTTTTTTTTTCTAAAAATATATTTTACACTATTACAATGCTATATTTTCTATATATAACGAAAAGCTGCTTTTGTTTTTATTCACTAAAGTTGAATCAAGTCCAAATAACGCAACATAACAAAACGTCAAATTACAGTGGTTTAAAGATATATAAAGTGAAATATGTTCACATTTAAAGCAACAAATTTTCGGTTTTCCTAAAACTATGCTTATGATTTAAGGTTTAGAAAAACTTTGTAACTAAACCAGATAACAAAAGGATTTTATATTCTAAAAGAAAGAAAGAATTAGATAAAACAAAACAAGAATTAGATAAAACAGGATCTCGGAAGGATTATATAAGAAAATAAGTAGTAACCTTTTAAAAGGCTTGACTGAAATAGGACCCAATATGAACTCTTTTTCTATGTGCTATTATTGGTCGTGACCTAATTTATTATATTATTTTGCATTACTGTTCCTGGTATTGTGGTTAAGTCTAAAAGATAAAACTATTTACTCTTGTAAGTATCAACAGCTAACTGAGAAATGTGTTAAAAGGAAACAAACAAAGACACACAGATATCCTCTAACTCTACCCTGCAGTTCGACAAAGAGTCAATGCATCCGAAAAAGACAGTGATTTCCACTAACGTCTAACCACCTGGTTGGCACTAATTCGTCTTTCGTCACAGATGTACTCTTTGTAAACGAGGGTGAAGATAATCGTCTCTTTAGTGTCCCCTTTGTAAGCAAGAGAGTGGACACTTAAAAAACACTTGTCTGCCCCTTCGTAACCTATGGGGAGTCGATTGACTTCCTCGTAGGACAAGCACATGTTAAAATAGCCAGTCACCTGGACAGTTGGTGGCTAGGTATAACCCTATGTGGTAGGTTAAATAGGGAGTTCGGGACTGTCCGACCGAACTGCTGGGTAGTAATAAATACACAGACATTTTCATTCTCTGAAAAAGAAAAAAACACATAGATGGACAATACCAAAATACACAAATTTGCAGCCAACCACTGACATAGAAGATGAAATACTATTCTCGTAATAGTACGAGTATAAACTAGTAGTAGTCCTATAAAACCTATTAAAAAAACAACTTGTTTGTTATTTAGATTGTTTTTTAACCTTCTTATTTTGTTTTTGTACTTATTTAAGAACTTGTTTGTAACAAAAGCAATACTATTAGCACACACACATACACAACAATATGTATGTATATACTTTTGATCATACTACTAGGTAGACTTAGTTTTTAATATGTGCTCTTAAAGTCCACTATCTACAGTAAACTGGCGTATATTTGATGTTCTTAGAAGCCAAAATGCTTAACTGACCGTTTACAGGAAAGAAAAACCCGAAGGAACTTTACTTGGAATAGGTAAAGGACCAGAACTCCATGGCTAGTCTTACCAAGAACAAAAGTAATTCTTATTTCGGCTCTAAAGTTGTAATCTTCAAAATGGAAAGGTTACAATTGGAAGCACTCTTACAAAAGTCACTAAAAGGACAATAAAATACCTAAAACGGTAATTAGCCACCGCTGGTAACGTTGAGGAGTCAAATCCAAAAGACAGAGCACCGGTCCTTTCAAAATTAGAAAGGTGCCAATTAAAGGGAAGATTAGAAGATCTTATAGTTAAACGAAATTCAGAATTGGAGAGTTTCGGACGAGCACTTAACTTCAGATCATCGTTACATAAGATTCAACGTCCACCACCAAAGCCGATAAAGTTGCTGAATAAGTCTAAAACTAATTGAACAATGTTTGGGAAAGGACACTTTTCAATGTCGAAATAAAGAGAATATAAACGACAAAAAATCATAATTGAATTATATCCGTTCATAATTATCACCAGACACTACAGAAGAACATTTTCCGAAATTATAGTTAACCTAATTTTTCGACCACAAGTGTGTATATTTTATCAATTTAGTTGTTTTAGTTCGATTTAAAGTCAGTAGTTCTTGGTTGTGGTATTTATTATTAATGTAATAAGAAATCAATATAATGGCCATGTTACACACTGCTAAAAATACAAATAAGTGAGAGTGTTATGGCATCAGAATGAGTGCTACTCAGTGTTGTCAAGAGTTATGGCAAAAATGGCTTAAAACTAACTTTAAGATTTTAAATAGCTAGAAAGTATTGATAAAGCTGTATATTCCCAGCAAAAACTTATATTGGAAAGTATTGAATATGAAAGCTTAAAAGCATAAAGACCGGTTTTCACTTATTCATTAGCATTTTAACTCAGAAATAACTACTTAAATAAGTTCTTACAAATAGAGAGTTCAAAAGTAATTTTATTTGTTGCACAAAAAAATTGGGACTTTTGTTAGCTATTATACTCACAACACCACTACTTATCCGACGAAACATGCTAAATGACTTGTACTTACTCAGCAACTTACTTTTCAATGTAAGTTTTTGCTGGGTTGTTATATCATTGTGTGTCAAATAATGGTTTTCAGACAAAACAAACTTTCAACTAAAATGTTCAAATAAAACGGCAAAATTTTAAAATAATGTATTTATTAACGTATGTAAGTCATTATAGTAGTCATTGAAAAGTAAGTAGTGGTGTAAGTACAAATCATTACCGTGATATTTATATTTTTAATGAGAATTCCTTCGTATACGCATGTAAATTCATATACAAATTTTAGTACAGTTTCAGTAGCAAGTACGTTTTTTTTAAAACAGAGAAATTGACAACACTGTTGCTAATACAAATACATAGAAAAAATGGGAAAATAGAGATTTGTGTTCTAAAATAAACACATTAGTGTGCGTAAATATCTAAGCTTTTCTTATTTAAAATTAATATGTGTGCAAGTGTATATATTTTTTTTTGCCAAGAATTAAAGGTTTAGTTTTGTTGTTGTTGTTTTTATACCAGTATTTATATACATATTGCATGTACTTTTTTGTATGTATGTGCTTGAATAAATGTGTAGTTGTTTAAGAAGTTATTTTTTTTTTAATTTCTTGCTTATTTTTTCAGTTGTTGTGAAGGATATTTAATTTCCGGATCATAGAATTTGCTAGAAAAAAATATACAGTTTTTCTATTTTTAAACTACCCCACACACACATACATACATAAACTTTACTCTTGAGTAGCTTTTTGTTTTATAAATTATTAAAATTGTAAATTTAACTTTTTGTGTTTTTGTTGTTAAGGATTTATTTGTTTACTTTTGCCTTATAGCTTCGTATAAGAAAATATTTATATATTTAAATCTAAAATGCACAATAAATTTATGCACACACACACACACAAAACTCAAAACAAGTGTGTGGTTATAATTCATTGTGGGCTTAATCACAAGAGATGATTTGACATCGAAGGCTCTAAAGAAGGAAACGGAAGCGTGTAATGAAAGTTTGATAGGGATATGAATTATAATTGATAAATTTTAAAGAGGTTTGGGGTATGAATCATGTAAATGTAACTGAAGGCAGAGTTCGATTGTCTATTATGTAACATACATAAATTGTTTAATTATACCCTACAACACCATAGGGTATTATGAGTTTGTGCTGATGTTTGTAGGACCCAAAAATATTGGTCCTACACTCATCCTAAAGTATACCAATCAGCTCAGAATCACTTTCTGATTCGATTAAGCTATGTCTGCCTGTCTGTCCGTCCGTCTGTCGGTCTGTCTGTCCGCCTGTGTGTCCATGTAAACTTTGTGCGCACGCTACAGTTCGCAATTTTCCAGATAATTTGATAAAATTTGGCAAATACTCTTATTTTGACCCAATGACAAAGCCTATTGAAAATGGTTGAAATCGGTCCATTATTTCGCCTAGCCCCCATACAACTGTTCTCCCCGAATAGGGCTTTTAAGCTTATAATTAAGTTAAATCTTGTAAAAACTCTACAAAATCGGCAAATCTTAGTTGTATATAAGTTTTAATGATACGGCCGATTTTTGTAATGATAGGGCCTCATTTGACCTTAGTCCCCATACAAAGTCCCCTTCAGAAAATGACTCAAAGGTGGGAAGTATCACATTGAAATTCTGCATAAATAACTATAATGTCATCGCAAATCGCTTTACCAAAATTTATACGGATGGGACCATATTTACCTTTGCCCCCATATAACCCCTCTTTCAGAAAAACACTTTTTTTTGTAACAAATTTTTAAAATATTTCGGAATTAAGGAAAAATGGTTTATTATTAGAAAAATAGCCCACATTTTTAACTCACTAGGGTATCATATGGTAGGCCATGCCCGACTATACATTCTTAGTTGTTTAATATTGGGTTTTTTCGGAATGTAGGGTCGATTTGTAAGACTATAGTTCGAATTTTATGTAATTTTATTAGGTTATAAAGGAAGCTGCTGAATTTAAGCTTTCCAGGTACTATCATAGTAGTATTTGTTTTGAAATATTTTCGGGCATTTTTATTTCTCTTGGTCCTCACCTCTGTTACCAACAACACTACGAATAAATATCTAGTTTAAATGAAGTTAGTTTAGGAAGTATATGAACAATATGTGCGATATATGTAAGAACCAAATGATGGATTCTCTATTATATCCTGATCTGTAGATTCGTTGTTATCTTATACTCATTTGGCATTTTCATAAAATAAATTGCACTTACCTTTTAATTAGTTGTTAATTTCTTTTGAATCATTTTTAATAATTTTGTTCTAACATTTGTAATTTTAAAAAAAAAAATAAGCATAGATAATTAACTGACCTCAATACAGTTGTACAACTACTAACTGCAAACTTAATTATAAAACATAAATTAAATGATAAATACTTGCAACGACAAAAATATGAATGAAAATAAAATTAAAACAAAAAAAAAATAATAAAACACAAACCTTTTTTTCGCCTTTGATGAACAAAAAACCATGCCACCAAAGCGGCATTAACCAATAGAAAACCAAAAGCTGCTAGTGAAATGCCAATTATGACTAGATTTGGTGTATTTGAATTTTCAGTTAATTCAGCTGGTAGCAATTCTAGACCTTCTTCAGGGATTTCCGTTCGTGTGATATGAAAAATTCACACACATACACACGCAAAGATACATTCAAATAAATTTAGTTACACACAGACAGACAAATGAATGTAGTGCAGCAGTTCATGAGCCAGAAAAAAATAAAACAAATGGTTTGAAATGAAAAAAAAAAAACATAAAAATTATAGTTGTTAAATAAATTAAGTTAAAAAATATATATGTTTTTTTGCAGTAAATACGAAGTTGCTTGATAATGTTTAAAAATTTGAAATTCGAAACTTTTCTCCACGTAATTGACATTATTTTTAAACAATGAGAAAATTATGTCAATAGATTTTTATTATAGAAAGATATTAATTTCATGGGTTTTAACCATAATTATTTATCAAACCTTTATAGAACAAAATTTTTGTGAAAATTTGTTTTATAAATCTCTGATAAATTATAAGGAATAGCAATTCAAAAGGCACAAATATTAAATTTATAACATTTATCAAACAACCCTCGTATATAATATACATATACTGCGTATTAAAAGAAAAAAAAACAAACTAAAACAAACAGCTGATTGAAGGAGTAAAAGATGAAAATTACAAAGCACAAGTGCACAAAACCAGATTAGCAAACTCAAGGGAACAAAAAGAAAAAAAAACAACAGAAAAAACAAAACATCTCCTTCACATTCTCCACTTTGATGCTGAACTTGATCATCCCAGCAACCAAGTCAAGAACATTGACGATGATGAGCTGATGCTGGTGGCAGTGATACCATTTCACAAAATATAACAAAGATAATGATGACGATGATAATAATGATGAAACTGAAAATATGCTCCAAATACCAATAAAATAGAATAAAATGAAATAAAAAGAAAATACACACACACACACACACAAAATAAAACATACATAAATATAAAGCTCATAAAGCGCATCACGTGCCGAGGTGATTATGAGTCCTTTTTCCATTTTCCTTATAGCTCTTCCTTTTGATTCACTTATTTAACAGATTTTGTTTCTTTTTCTAATTTTCCTCCATCAGGGAGTAAACAAAAAAAAAAACGGTATAACGCAACGAAAATTCTGCCATAAAATCAGACAAAATTAGCTAAACAAAATAATGAGGCATGTAAATAAAAACATACACACACACATACATACACTAAAAGGAACTAACTAACAAAAGCCAAAAGGATGTTAAGCAGAGAAGGGAATTTACTGTATACACACATAAAATATGGTTGTTGTAAATTAAAAAATAACCCCTTTTTTGTAAAAGGAAATTCATGTTCATGTTAAAAGTTTCCTGGTTGAGTTTTTTTTACATTTTACACTGTTCTGTGTATTTGGCTTTCTATCGAATGAATTATTTAAAATTCAGTAATAAATTGAATGTAAAAAAGACAGAATAATACAGAAATTACTCGAAAGTCAAACAGAATTTACTAAAATATTTTTAGTAACTGCAAAGATGTTGAAAAAAAGCATTAAACTAAAAAGTAAACGGAAGTATGGCAGACATTATTGTTTTTTTTTTTTTTTTTTCTTTTTTTAATGCAACTACCGTTCATATTTATAAATAGAATTTGTATAAAATATTTATGTAGTACACTTTATGAATATAGAGCTATCAATATAAATATATTTTATGTTTTTAGCCAAAACAAAAATTACATAAAAAATTACTTACTTTAACTTAACTTTATTTTTTTTGTAAACAAATTGACAGTTTTAAAGTTTAAGAACAAATCGCAATAAGGATTTTCATTTAAAAGTTTAAGTTTAAATAATTCGTGAAAAGTAATCTCATATACCTACTTTCAAAGCATGTGTCGTAAATTAAAAGAGAATTCCAATAGGTTTCTCCTTATATTAATATATAAGTAAGTACGTATAAGTAAGCATCAAGGCCTTTTAGAGGCTCGGATAAATTAGGAAACCATCAAAGCGTAAGTTGTAAATAAAAGTTAGTTTTGAAAGGTGGACATAGGTCTGAGGAGTTTTATGGTCGATCGGACTCTACAGAATTTGAAATAGTGAATAATATTTTCCAAAACGTCATTAGTGTTGATTTTTTTATTATCTTATATATATGGGCAAGGGATCTTCAATGAAGAATATGGTTTCAATTTTGGTAGAAATTTTGATTTCTATAAACTGATTTGTGTCAAATTTTGTTCCCTTAAGTAATGTTCTAAAGGAGACTTAATAACGGTTGTAGGGTTTCCTATGGACCAATCATCATAAACATTTGTATACACAGAGGGAAAAGAAATGTACATGACTGGTACCAAATTAACACCAAACTGTTTATAATTTTTCAATAACATCCGTTGTCAAAGTATATACATACATACGTACGACAGCACTATGTAATGTAGACAACCTTACAACAATTCGTTGTCGAAATCTAAATTTTATACACATCAGTTGTCTAAATGTTAACAAACGTGGTAAACTCACTATTGACAAACAATCCATTGCCATTAGTGAGCTTACCACGTTTGTTAACATTTAGACAACGGATGTGTATAAAATTTAGATTTTGACAACGAATCGTTACATAGTGTTACATAGTATTGTCGTACGTATGTATATATTTTTAAAACGGATGTTATTGAAAAATTATAAACTCTTTGGTGTCAATTTGGTACCAGGCGTGTATATTTCTTTTTTCCTCTGTGTAGAGATTTTGGTTCCAATAAAAATTCTTTATAATGATATTTGTAACGCGTAGAATTATTGTCCTATACACACCTTTGAGTATACCAATCGACTCAGAATAATTTTTTGAGTCAATTAAGCCATGCCCGTCCGTCCATCTGTCTATATAAACCTTGTAATCCAACTACAGGTCGCATTTTTATACATAATTGGATGAAATTTAGGGCATGCATTACTTTTGACCCAAGAACGAGCTCTATTGATTGATGGTTGATATCGGTGCATTATTTCATAGCCTCTATATAACCGGACCCCCTTAAATTGGGATTTGGAGCTCATAATTATGCCAAATATACTAATATCCCTACAAAAACTAAGCACGACTACGTTTTATAAAAGCAGAAATGATACTGCAAAATTTCGTAAGGAGCGGCCATTATTTAACCCCAGCCCCCTTGCAAAGTCTCATTCTGAAAATACGTTTATTTCAATGAATTCGGCATAATTAACTTTGATGTCAACAAATATCTCTCCACCAAATTTTGTTAGGATCGGTTCATATTTGACGTTATTTTCTAAGGGGAACCATATATTCTACGGCTCTTACTCGGTTAACTTCGATATTCGACTACGATATAGATATGAAAATGTCGGAATCGTCTTATTATACTTTGTTAAGCCCCCTTCACACGAGCTTTCAAGTAATATGATCTGTCAAAATTTTGTGTAGAAGAGGACTGATGGGATCGTCTAAATGCAATATGTAACATTGAGAGAAAATACGAATCGAAAATTTTACAGTCGTATGGCTCCCTTCATTTTTTGAAATGATTTAAAAAACAAGCAAGTCGCATTAGATCAGGGATGTATTTTTATTAAGCACATACAAAAAAAAAAAGAAGTGAAACAGCTGTTTCCATCTCACTTTGTTAATGTTTTATACCACTTTTATTCTCTTTTTTTGTCATACGGATGGAATTTCATTTTACTTTTTTATTAGACTTGTCGTACGTAAAGTGTGATCGTCTGAAGGGCCCTTTAGCTGAGAGGAGAGTATAACTGAATAGTTAAGGTAGAAGGTGGCACTTCTTTTTTTTTTTGATGCGTTCTCAAATTGTAACCACAAAACATAAAATAAAATTGTTTTCTTGGTTTTTAAATTATTCGGTGCCCCTATGGCAATGATCCCCCTTCTACTCGTTTGAAACATTCTTATATGAAAATTAATATAAACTGTTTGGAAATTTTAAATCATTATATAACCTAATAAATTAGTATTGAAAATGTTCACTATGGTAAAAGAATGGGTTGACTTAAGTAACTAAACATTACAATATATACTAAATAAATGTTTAATTAAATAGTTAATTTTAGCACAAAATGTTTCCTAAGTTAAGTAATTGTTTAATAAACATAATATGAACTGCATATTTTCCTATATACAGAGAAGGTAATATATGCACACTATTACAAACTTTATATAAAAAATATTTATACAAAAATATTATATACATACATTTATGTAGCATAGTATATACCATACATAGACTAACTAATCATTATAAAATCAAATTCATTATATGATGAGTGTGTGTTTTCTCTTTTAGTTTTAGCTTTTCAAAAGAGTATTAAGTTGAAAGTGTATGTCTGTATTTGCTATTATAAAAATAGTAATAATAAATATATAGTATAATAATAATATTTCGGATACAGTACCTCGTTTGAGACGCTTTTGATTACGTTTATGAAGACAGCAACCTATGATGAGTATATTCAAAGCCACTATTGTTATGCCAGATGCCACACCAACCAACAGCAATAGACCCGAAGTGCCACCCAATGGAGTGGCACTCGTTGTAGGAGGTCCACCCAATGATGAAGCTGGCTGTGATGGTGGCGGTGCTTCTGTAGCGTATTATTGAAACAAAATTTTGTATCCATACAAGAGTAGCAAAAATAAATGCAGCATAAAAGACAAAATTAATAAAAAGAAAATAAGAGAGCGGAGAGAAAGAAGAGGAAAAGGAAACACAGACACACAATGAAATATTTATGTATGTACTAAACAAAGTATTTTATTATATATGCATATACACTGTACATATATGCATGTAGTAAATATTATAAATTTTCATATATACTACACACACATACATACATATTTTATGCATATAGAAATTTCATTATAAAAAGTCAAACGATTCCTGTGTGCGCTTTTTTTCAGTAACTCCATAAACTGTTACTGCCAAAGAATGACTAAAAGTGTAGAGTACTGGTCGAGAATTCCTCTAGGCTGCAGCGGTTTTAATTTTTTTGCTACTAATTGTTAATTTTGTTGTTGTGCCAGTTGAGTTAGAGTGGGTGTAGCTGGGTTAATGGCTACCTTAGAATGGGTCAGCTCATAAAATGCAGATGACGCGACCAATAAATCAATGTCTTTAGCAATTTGTTGTTTTTTTTTTTCTGTTCCTCATTGCCTCGTTGGTTTTCCAACCTAGTTTTTATAGACGTGGCTAATTTGTGCACTTTGCTTTTAATGCATTATACTTTTAGTCACACATACACACTTATTCACACATACTATACAATTATGTTGATTTATGTGTATGTATACCCCTGTATTAGCTAATTGAGTTTTGACTTGGTTGTTGTGTTGTTGTTTTTTTCTTATTTTTCATTTTGCTATTTTTATAGTCATAAATGAGAATGAATAGACTTACCTTTTGTGTGGGCTTTTTGCAGGTCAGGCAAGTATTTGCTCTCACCTAAATCATTGTATGCCATTACCGAAAATAGATACAATGTATTCATTTTTAGGCCATTTATGGTGAGTTTATGACTGTTTGGTAGACCATCAATATATTTGTATTGTTCACGATTTGCCTCTCTGTATAAGGAAAAGAAAAAAATGGAAATACAATCTCATAATGGCAAAAGATAGATAGTGTTTATTAACGAAAGCAAATCCATTAGCTGTAGTTAGATTTAAATCAAAAACAAATTTTTTAAACTTACCTAAAACGTACTCTATAAGAAGCCTTTAGACCTCCATCAAAGCCCGGCGTCCAGGCTACTGTCACAGAGTCGTGGGTGACATTTAAGATGTTCAAGCTTAAAGGTGTATCGGGCTGTGAAGTTATATCCAAACGTACCGTCTCAATTGCTTGGCCCAGATCATTTTTTGCCACACATTCGTAGGCTCCATAATCGGCAGGTGCTACTTTTTCTACAATCAATATTGACTCGTACGTCAGAGAGTCGATTTTCTTTTCTTCTACTTCGTATTTATAGGAACGATTAACTGGCAAATCTTTACCCTCTTGGCGCCATATAAACTTGGGTTTGGGTGATGACTGAGCACGACAAGGCAAACGGCCACGTTCACCTGTGCCACTGGCAGCTCGCAGCAGAGTGGGTGATTTATCAATTTCCGGTGCAACTATAAGAGCGTAAAAATAAGTAAAGAAATTATTATTTATTTTTATACTCGAGTAAATGTTGTACTTAATATTTATGTATATTAAACGTGTTTTACTTACATTTGACTATCAGCAAAACATCGCGACTAGTGGGATTGGCAACACGATTATCAGCAATGCAACGGAAATTACCAACATCTTCACGTTGAGCATCTTTAATGTGTAGATACGAGGTGCCATTGGCAAATGTTGATGAGGTTTTTATGGTCATATCATAGCCCAATCTTTCCCACTTTACGTGATCCTCCGTTAGAGGTTTACCCTCTACCGTACACGACAACATGGCATCTTCGCCGGGATTGACAATGACATTTTCTGAAACCGATTTGATGGTGGTGCCATCTACACATAAACACAGAAAAAAAAACGAAGAACATGATTAAATAAACAATCATAGATATGGTAATGCAATGTGCAACTTTGCACATATCTATGTATGTATGTATGTGCGTTTGAATTTACTTACATTCCACTACCACGCTGACATTAATGCGAGCTGTGCCTTGGGAATTGCGTGCCTCACACACATACAGCCCGGCATCATTGCGATGCAATTTTGTAAAATTCAACTTGGAGCCATCGGCAAAGATGCGTGGCTCTGCCCCATTAACTGCACTGGGTATTGTTTGACCATCTCTTGACCAAGTGTAAGTAATTGACATGGGATTGGCATTGGCCTGCAAGGCAACCAGCAGTGATTCACCCTCTACACCGACCGCCGTCGACGAAGGTGGTGGCACAAATTTGGGACGATCTAAACATGAGCAGCAACAATGACAACACAGCACGAGACGAGACGACAAGACAAGATAAGAGTTAAATAAAATTTATACATTTCCTTAAAATTCACTTTTGATGTTGCACTCACTCACTCGGTCGCTCAGTCACAATACAATGCAACAAAGCGGCAACAACAATATTCAACGTTTCAAAAGCACTGCAAAGTAAAGCAAATAAAAATACTTACACAGCACATCCAGGCTTATGGCTTCATGAACACTACGCTGTAGTGCCTCGTTGGCACTTTGACATGTGTAAACTATGCCGTTCATTTCCTGTGTGATGTTTACTTTAAATTCCAACGTTGAGACGGTACCACCCCAAAGACCAGGCTTAGACGTATTATTTATACCTAAGGAAATGAATGACAAAATAAAATGTATATGTATACAATAAAAAAGAAAAGGACATACAGTCTTAGTAAGAGTGGGAAAGAGGAAATAAGCGAGAGGGAGAGTGAGCCCAAGAGAAGTATGTTAACGGTGATTGCCACATGGAAATTATGCAGACAACAGGACTTGTTGTTTAAACGTATGTGTATCAGCAAATACACTAAAATGTTGCTTTTATAAATGTGTGTGTGTGTGGAAGTAAGACTACAGTTAAAGTTAGTAAACCGGAAGTTTGCGTAAGTACATATCTTTTTTTTAATTTTTGTGCTTTTTAAAAAAATACAGCAGCATCAAACATCCGCCTTGGAAACACTATACATTTTAACATCTACATACATTTGTACAATGTATATGTAAATGGACGGACGGTCAAATAGAAATGCAATCGTATAGGAGAGTGTTTGCAGACAGACAGGCAGAAAAATAAGATGTGTTATGGTTGTTGTGTCCTAATAAGTGAGAGTAAGTGCAATACGGATACTCACAAACACAACACGTTTAGGTTTAGGTTTACGCCTGTCTTTACTAACCGACCAAACATCCAGGCCAAGCCATAACAGGCAGGCATTAAGTCAGCCAAACATTCAGCCAACCTACAAGTTTGGCCGGCGCCACTTCATGCTACCATTTCAAAAAGCACACATACATACACTCACGAAAACAAGCGAACTTTAGATTTTACGTAAACTTGTATTTATATGGCATGTGGCCACACCACTGGTTTATTCTATACACAATTTTTTTCTCATGTTCCGTTCTTGGGTTGGATTTTTTTCCCCATTTGACAACAATGACAATCCTTTGAACAACCCAATAATTTGGGCACTTTTCCAGCTTAACAACAAACGTTGCTTCTTGCATCTTTAACAAATTTGTTGGCTTCAGACAACACAAGCAAAAAGACACACACACTAATACTACCACTGACTTATACGGTAAAGATGGAGGAAAAAATAAACCTTTGGTTGTAAAGTGGCATTTAAAACTTACCCTCAATTGGTATGCCATCCTTCCACCAGGATAATTTAGCAGGTGGATTGCTAGAACTAGAATCACAAATTATAGTCGCCTCTATGCCTGGTTTCAATTCTTCCGGTTCAATGCGTATCTTGACGGTTTCGGGGGCAACTGCAATTATAATATTTTTTATATTATGTTTGTGTTTTTTTTTTTCAACTTCCTGTTATGTATTGTTACTTTCATTCTTATTGTTTTTTTTTTTGGCTTTTTCTTTTTTATTTAATAAAAAATTAATATGTAAATTGATTTGCCAGATTCTTTTATAAGGAATCTTTACATGTTTATGTGTGATTTTAAAGAAATTGTTATACTTACAGTGCACGCTCAATGTGGTTGATTCGAAAAGTGGTATTTCAGTGGCACTATTTGATGCCTCACAACGATATTGAGCTTGATTATCGGTTACATTTGCCAGAATTGTTATTTCAGCTGAAACAGACTTGTCGGCAGTGCGTATTACGGAATTTATCTGAAAATTAATTACAAAAGAAATTAAACTCAAGTTTAAATCTTAAAACTTAAATAGCGTGTAAAAGTGATATTGTAATAAATTAACAAACGAATTAATATTTATGATTTTCTTTGTTGCCAAATGTTAGTTTTTTCTTTGTCAAAGTAATAAACTTTTTCAAACACATTCTGAGAAATTTAAATTTATTTATGGTATAAACTTGATATTTTGAATTTGTTTAAAGAATTGTTATCATATATGAAAGTTACAGATAACATTATATTATCTATTCAGTTATTCATTACATTTCATTTGCATAAATTTAAGGACAAAAGGACAAATTACTACTAGAATTAGTGATTTATTGTATTTTGAAGAATATTAATATTGTGATATGCTAATAGATGGAAATGGTAGTTATTTTTATTTTTAATATAGATATTATTTAATAATAGTCTATAGAAATATTAAAAATATACTTGAATATATTTTAAAAATACATTCATTCGTATCCTTATATAGAATTCTCATTTAGTTAAGAATATTTTTAGAATAAGAAATATTTGAAAGCCTATGTGTATATATATGTATATTCCAGTTCCATATTAGATTCTAAGACGATTTAGTCATGTCCGTCCGTCTGTCTGAAAACACGATAGAGTCCGAATGAAAAGAGCTATAGGACTGTAATTTTCAATTAAAATTTCCCATTAGTATTTAGTAGTAATGAACAAGCTTTATAGAATCCAAAATCTCTCTACTAAACGTAATAAGAATCTGTCGTTAATTGGTCCTACGCCCTATATAAGATCAAAATATGACTTCAATGCTCACTAATGTTTTAAAAATGCCGCAAAAGTGATGATATTTTAAATAGACATAGGAACTCTTTACCAAATTTTATAAGGATTGGCAGACAATTGACCCTAGTCCTTATATATTCTCCTCATCACACATCTCCACATCTAAGAAATACATTTTACCGGAATTATGGCAGTGTATTCGACAAAAACAGCATTTGTAGGAACCATATCCATATGATGATCGGTCCTTAATTGATCATATCCTTCATATAACCCCATTTACACAAAACAATTTAAATTGTTCCAAATGTGGAGTATTATGATAAAATTCGAGACAAAGTTTTTAAATGAAATAACTCTTTAAAATGATGGTAAAGAGATATCAGATTCTTGGGAATGGTGGATTACAGTTTTCTACTACAGTTATAAATAGAGTTTGTGTACTACAGTTATATGTATGTAAATAGGTCTTTCTCTATTTATTGTTCTCTATAAGAGTATCCAGCAAAAACTCTGTAATGTACTTACATAACCACTTGCTTTTCAATGACTACTACTTACCGTCTGCATTACTTTTAAGTACTCTTATAATGATTTATATATACAGACACAATACGAAACTAGTTTTTCTGTGTAAAAACAATTATTTGACGCACAATAATATAACTAAGCAGTGGTGTTGTCAGTAGGAGTACAAGAAGACCAGATTCATATTCTGTGTGAGCCATTTTTTTGTTTTTAAAATAAAACTACTTTTCTAATTCCTTATTTGTAAGTAGTTATTGGTAAGCAAGCGTGGTAAGTACTTGCCTCCCATATGGTCACCATGTTAAAATAATGAGTTAAAATGCTAATGATGAAGTAGTGAAAAGACGCTTTTTTAGTTTTTAAGGCTTTGTAAGGTTTTGCTGACTAACTATTGCAGAAATTTCCGCAAGGGTATTTAAAAATAATAATAAACGAATTACATCACGAAGTAAAGACTATAGACCACTAGTCCCACATAATTAATATTTCACTCAATAACCAATTACAAGGGTACAACATCTAAATTACAATCCCAGTGAATGAATGATGGTTTAATTATTTAATATAGCCCAATGGAGAGGTTTGAGATCTCATAGATTGAATACTTATTGTTGTCATATACAACAACACATACAAACATATGAATAAGAATAACTACTATTTAGTTATGTATGAAGTTATATCAAATCTATTAATTACCGAAATTTATTTAATAGACTCACGTAACATAAATTTATGAAAATAGTTATTCGTACGTAAATACGTACATAAGTAGTTGTATAAAATACAATCAAGATGTATCTTGTTATTTGCTGATTTGCTTATGACACTGGGAAATGTCAAAACAATTACTATAGAAATATTTTATTTAATTTCATTTAGTATCCAAGTCAGTAGTCAGTGTGCCAATAGCAGCAGTGGGTATTATAATTATTAATGGCCAGCATTCTTCCATGCATACTTACATAAATTTTGTACATTTTCAAGCAATTTTTATGTTTATCTTAGTTATTCTGGAATGCAAGTATTTAATTGTATTAAATACATTGTTTTCATAAATATACATACATTCATATATACACATGTACCTAGTACGTATGATTACTTATCCAACAAATAATATAAATAGTTAAGATTTTCATTAAATACTTATAAACGCACATAAACAAAATACATAATAGATACAAATATTCATATTTACATGCTGACATACATACATAGAAATGTATGTATACCCCCCACACATATTATAAATTGATAATATTAATGTTTAGAAAATGTTCATAGATATTAAGACAGAAGCTGCATGTTTTTGCTGTTGCTGTAGGTGCGATGTTGTTTGTCGATATAATTAACAAGGATAAGGAATTTTAATAAAACTTCAGTATAAATATTATGAAAACTTAAATTCCACAACAGCAATAAAACAGGTAACTGATGCGAGTGAGTATGAGTATGTGTTCACAACAACTAAGTATGCAATTTAGTTACAAGTAACTAAATATTATCAAACATATATAAATATCTCAACCAACCAACACACGCACATTTTCAGTGATACTCATAGATACATATACTAACGCATGTTTTTATGCGTGTCAATTATGTGTGAGTGTTTGCTTTTGTGTTTTTGGTATTAATTTTTGGTTTCCTAACTAAATGTGGTTCTTTTTCATTTACACCTCCCTCGATACCTTTTCTCTAAAAACCATAAAATTCTTGTCTACATCTATAACATTAGTGTTTTTATGTTCGATTCAATGTTTGTACGTATGTGTATGAATGTATGTGTTTAAGTTTAAGAAAACTATCTAAAGTATGTTAAAATTTTGTTAGGTTACTAAGTAAGAATGTTTATACAAAGCTTAATATGTTTAGAAACATATGTAAGTACATAGTAAAACTAAATGAATATATAATACATACATACGTATGTATCATACATACATACATATTTACTTATATATACATACAATGCCATGCATATATATTCATTCACAGATATGTATATACATTTATTAGGGTTGTACCAAAATAGAAATTGTTGATGTTCCTATCGAAAATAAAAACTTACTTTAAATTCTTTTTTTATGGGTCACAAAAGATATGGGGCTTCGGTGACGTTTTTGCAAAAACTTGATCATTTTCTCTGGCTCACATCTTGTAAACCGTTCGGAATTTTTATTTCCTCTCTAAGACAAAGTTGTCATAAAGAATAAATATTGTGAACATATAAAATCAAAAAAAAACTTAATTTTAAAGATCAAAAAATATTTCATGTGCTTCTCTAAATTAAGCGTATAATTAATATTTGTAATATCAATAAATCAGTAACACGTATACGTACATGTGTCGTTAAAAACTGCAGTGCAATTTCGCAATATAAAACTTTCCACTCGCAAGGAATAAATGATAATAAAGTGTTTTGATTTTATATGTTCACAATTTTTGTTCTTTATGACAAGGGCTACAACTTTGCCTCAGAGAGTAAATAAAAATTCCGAACGGGTATCATGATATGAGCCTGAGAAAACGATCACTTTTTTGCAAAAATGGAGCCCATAAAAAAGAGCATGACTTTGGGAAGACACGAGCCTTTTTTATCTTTTATGACGTTGTGGTGTCCGTATACATACAATGAAAAGTATAAAGTAAATTTCGGAAGGTGGCCCTATATATGAACTTGGATCATTACATTAATATGGATTTTCGGAATCGGGCCTTCAATGAAGGATTGCGTCAATTATGGACTAAACACTGCCGTAATTAAATAAGTAATATCATAGGGCAATGAAGTACTATGAACATCATAAAATTATGTTTCATTAAAACACTTTTTTGTATCAAATTTAGAGATAGTTATGAGCCTTATAGTCATGTTCTGAAAAGGAATAGGGATATGCATCTATCCTCATGAAATTTGCTAGACCGAATTTAGTTCCCACAAAACTCGGTCATGTTGAATTTCATCGGTATATTAAGTCAGCAAAGAATATTAAAATAAATTTCTGATGGGGACTTTATATAGGGGGTAGGGCCAATAAGAGTAAATTATGGACCGTTCCTTATAGAACTTAATAGATAGATTTTGGTTAATATAAAACTAGTATATGTCAAACTCATTTGCTATACTGGCATTTTTAAATTAGTTAATTCATTTTCTGAAGGGAACCATATATGGGGGTAGGGACAATTATGAACCGATCGTCATAAAATTTCGCGAGATTTAAGTTAATATAAAACTTGTTTATTTTAAATACAATCACTATAAGCATATTTGTAAGTTAGATATGAGCGTTAAAGTAATTTTCTGGTGGTGGCGTTATATGGCGGGTAGGATCAATTATGAACCGATCGTTATAAATTTTCATAGACAGATTTCGATTAATATGTATAAGAACCGTTGATATGATATATTTCATTGCTATACTAGCATTTTCGGTACATTTCTGATTCTGTTACTAACGTTAAAGTCATTTTCTAAAGGGTAGGAAAAATTATGGACCGATCGTCATAAACTCATCATAATTCACAGTAAATATCTAACCAAATTGTAGAAGAAACTTTATTGAACTATGAAGGACGAAGTTTTGGTTTGTCACAAGCAATTTTTAAGAAATTTAAACTTTGACTACTCATAGCTTTTAAATCTAAAAATACTTAAAACATCGAATAAGCGAAAGCTATGGACCAAATCAGTACAAATGATCTTATTAAATTCCCCAAAGAAGCAAATACTTGTCAGTTTCATTGAGTTAACAAATTTTCTAGACTTAACCTTATATCAAATTTTATCAAGGCCTTTTCTCTCCAATAAGTTTTTTCGATCCAAGTAGAAGCGAAGTAGTTGAAAATTCATAATTAATTTTTCAAAGCAATAAACGACCTTGTGTCGGTAAAATTTTCAAAATATAACATGACTTTGTCGTAGAGTGTAGTTGTATGTATACACGTGTGTTTTATAAATAGTTTCTAATCTTATATGCAGGTGTGTTTCTAAGTCCAAGGTTTAATATTTACTTTGTGAATGTATAACGAACTGGGGGTTTTTTGAGGTGTACATTCGTTAGTGTATGTTCGCTCAGACGATTTGTTATTTTGTGTTTTTGGAGTATGTCGTCGTGTCGACGTCGTATGGTTGTTTGGTGTCAACTATACTTGAACTTAATTGTCATTTCAATTCTTGTCCAGCATTTTCATACAACTTGTCTTGTTGTCTAGTTGAGGTTGTTTGATGGGTGTGTATGGGTTAGTTGGTTGACAACTAGAAAGTCAGTTTAGCAAATAAGAAATTTTTACTGCACACTATAACACAGACAGACAACAACACATTTATGCATCTACACCTAAAGAATGTTGTCATATAAAAAGTATATAAAGTTTTTGGTCATAAAAACACAAAAATGCTAGAAATTAAAGGTGACATCGTTTTTCAGAGAAAAACAGCTATAATAATGTTAAACAAGGACTTTACTTCAATAAGTATTTACAAATACAAGTATGTATGTTAGTTTTAGTCCATACTAGACAACAAAAACTGTCAAATTGCAAAAAAAAAAAAAATGAAATATAAATAAATAAAGTTTACAATTTGTTTCGTTCCTTTTTAGGTATCAAGTAGAGTAATAGTTGTTAAATGTTTATGTGTCCTTTTTTTATCACTTTATCATACAAACAAAGAGCATTTTAATTGTGCAGTTAAAAAATCATTACGTTCTTATTATTTAAGTGTATCCTACCTAGCTGGCTGTCTAGTTGCCTGGCAGGTGTAGATGTGTGAATTCTTGAGAGTTTGTGGGCCTGTGGAGCATGTGGAGTGCAGAGGGGTGAAGGCATAAAAAGTAACCACAGGTTAAGTACAGATGTTGTGACCAAGCTTTTTCATTAAAAAAACTTTATGTCCATGCATAAAATACATTACTGCATACTTATGTTTGTAAAAAAAAATACCAGGAAAAAACCCAGGAAATAAGAGTAACAACTTCAACCTCCCAAACCATATAAATGAGCACATAAATTCCATTTCTCATATAATCTAAAAGCATTCCTAAAGTACATACAGTCAAGCTTATACATATACACACATACATACATGTATTCACAGATATATTTTAAAAGCGAAGGTAGCGAGATGTTTATGCGTTTCAGGAGGGTGGGCGTGTATCCTTGAAAGAGCACTCGTACTCATCGTATCGTTATTTATTTTCATTTTAACTAAAAAACAATTTCAGATGAGATCTTTTTTAAACTGAAAAATTTATATAATTTTTTTTCTTCTGGTAAGTTTCTTTGTTGCGAATGGCACTTTCATTAACATAAAAAATTGTGCATGTGGTGCAGGAGTTCAAATGTATTTTGTATGCGATTTTTTTATTCTGTCCATTCGTCACTGGGGGAAAAACAAACCATGAAATTTGCATTTCATCATGGATATGTCCATGAGAAAAATGAGAAAAAAAACTTATGTGATCTTTTCAATAGCAGGTTTTGCAAAAATATATATTTTTTATACATTTTTATTTCATATGTATTATTATGAAAAAGGAGTAATTTGTGACATATATTGTTTGTTCAAATCTTTTATATAATTTTTTTTATTATAAGTTGACTGCCATTTGAGTTTAACATTGTGGCAGTTTACATATTTTTGAAAAAAAAAAAACTTACCCTTTTATCGTTTTTGTACCAAGTTAGTGTAGCTAAAGGATTTCCACCAGAAGAAACACACAAAAGTTTCTGTACCGAACCGGCCGGTATTATTTGTCCTTCTATGTAACCGGAAATTATGGGTGGTATGGGGGGATCTGTAAATTATATAAAAAAATTTAATTGGAATTTAATATTATCATTTAAGTATATGTATTTATATATAGTTTACTAAATAAGCAACAGGTAAAATAAATATTAAGTTGTTAATTGTGGTCTTAGTAAAATTGTATTGCTTAACTAGTCTTAATTATTTCAATATATATTTTCAGAGAAATTTCCAGTTTAATCCTTGAAAAAATATATGTATTAATAAATTTAATAAAACATAATTCTAGGGACTTGTATTTCAGCGATAAAAATTATCTTTTCGGAAAGACCAACTTAATTATTTTATAACATAACATAAATTTGTTCTTAAAAAAGATAAAACACAAAAAGTAAAGTGTAATTTTTACAATTACATTTTATGAGCACATCACCAGAAAAAAAGGATTTACACCTATTCATACCTATACTTATACACTCCAAAATAATAATATAAAAAATAAAAGCTCAGGAAACATAAAATGTTATAATAGATATGATTATACACACACACTTAAATAGTGAAAGGATGAAATAAAGCTCTCAGTAAAAATTAAATAAAAATAATAAGAAAAATGCCGCAAGTCACTATTTAACCACAAACACAGACATGGAAAAATATGCCAGATGTAAAATATCAAAGAGTCTTAAAGCGATTAAGAAGGATTTTACTCTATTATCTGTTATATTTTAATAAACACACATTCATACATAGCTACAGCTGTACGAGGGTAATAGGAAAAATCTTTTTAAAATATCAAAAAACTTTTATTTTAACATGTACTTGTCCTACGAGGAAGTTAATTAACACCTCATAGATTACGAAGAGACAGACAAAAAGCTTAAGTTTGCTTTTAAGTGTCCACTCTCTCGCTTACAAAGGGGACACTAAAGTGACGATTATCATCACCCTCGTTTACAAAGAGTACTTCTGTGACGAAAGATTAATTAGAGCCAACCAGGTGGTTAGATGTTAGTGAAAATCACTGTCTTTTTCAAATGCATTGACTCTTTGTTGAACTGCTGAGGTAGGACTTCGTGTACATACCAATAAAGAAACTGACAAACGCATACATTTGCACATAATATGAAAAATAAAGAATATGTATACATAATTAAAGCGACACTAGTAAAGCGCGGTAGTTCTGTATCCATTTTAACACTAATGTTCACAAATTACTTCGCCAACAGGAATTATTTCTTGTACCTGGTAAATAATAAAAGATCAATCTTATATAACACAAGTAATCTATATTGAAGTCAATTGGCTTTAAGTAATCTAGAACGTAAGTACTTATTTTTCTTATTTGTCACTAAAGGTACGTTTACACCTATCAAATATTTGACGAAAATTATGTGACCCATAAATAATCCACATATTGATTTTCCTTGAAGTTATCACTTTAGAACGTTTTGATAATTTGTTTTGACATTATTTGCAATGACAAAAGTCATATAAGATCAAAGAAATATTTACAGAAAATAGTGTCTTTTTCTCAAATATTTGGTAGGTGTGAACACATCTTAAGAGTTTATTCTTTGTTACTTTTTCAAAATGTCATATTAACTACCAATAGCCTTGATTGATTGATTGATTGAGGGGGCGCCAAGCACTACGACCCAAATTAGGATCTTTTGTGCAGCCCTTTTGGTTCACCATTGGAGATTAAGTTCACGTATGAATCTTAATGTTCTAGACGGTGAGAGATTGAACATTTCATTAGGCGAAAGGAAAGCGCCTCCCAGAATACTCACTCTGAGAGTCCATAATGGCTGACAGTCACAAAGTACATATTTAGAGGTTTCATCATGCATTTCGCCTCGTCACATTGTTACCAAGAATGTGTTGGTGGTATCTAAGTCCACAGTGTCCGGTATAAAGTCCCGTTAGTAATCTTAGGTCGCTCTTGTTAAGTGACTGTAACTTTTGGGATTTACATTTCGTTAGCATTATGAAGCTTTTTGCCTGTCTGAGTCCTGATATTGACTCCCAGTGGCGGAAAAATTCCGTTTCAACATATGAAACGCATTTTTTTCCTAATGTATTCTTTGGGGATACCAAAGAATGGTACTGCTCCAATAAATGGGCGCCAGAGATACAAGTCGATGCAAAAAGATCGGCGGCTGCGGCGCAACCATTTTAGGTCGACGGCGGCTTATTATAGAAAATATTGTGTGGCAACTCTTTTCAATTTGCCATAAGAATTTAAAATAGTGGCAACTCCGTTCAAATTGCTGAAATTATTTTCTGAAATACATGTGCGATACCTGTCTTTATCAGCGGCTACTTTTAAGCCGGCTTAGCCGGAAGAAGTTGTCGGTTGCGCGGCTTTCAAAATATTACCGGCGGCCAGCCGCCGTCGTTTTAAGCCGTCTCGGCTTGTATCTCTGATGGGCGCCGTGCACCCCTGTTTGCCAGACAATCTGCACTTTCATTGCCAGATTGTCCTTCATGGCCAGATACCCAACATAGTTTGAGTTTATTATGTTTACCCAGTTCATTTAGAGATGTCAAACAGTTAAGTATGACTACCGACCTGATTTCATATGATAGTAAAGCCTTAAGGGCCGCCTGATAATCCGACATCACAAATATTTTCAATTCTCTCAGTTTCCTTCTCAGACATTCTCTAATGCAAATGATAATTGCATACACCTGTGCCTCATAGGGATGGCCTTTTAGAAATTTGGGCCATATATTCCCGGTCCAGTATTGCCATTTATCTGTTTGGAACCATCTGTAAACCATACTTGGTCAGCATGTTCCTGCCACCAAGTAAGGTTTGTTCATTGGTCCCTTTTCGGAATAAGAACCTCAAAGTCAATGTAGTATCAAAACTGTTGCCAGGAATCCATATATATGGATCAGTCATAAATGTACTTATAATAGTCATGTGTCCTACCAAGTTGCCAGCTTTTAAACTGGTTATTTCTGGTAGGCGAAGTACATATTTGTGCGCTTCATCCTTTATGAGGATGTGTAGTGGTGGGATGTGCAAAATAGCACCAAGAGCATATGTTTAACAACTTTTCATGGCCCCTGTTATGGAGACACAAATGAGACGATAGATTTTGCTGATCTACCTTCTTCCACCAAACCAAGGCAGTATAGGTTTCAAAGGTCCATAAGATCAGTCTCGGTTTTAAGCCCCACGTTCTACCAAAAAGTCTTTGACAAGCATACAATGCCCTAGTGGCTTTGTTGACAGTATTGGATATGTGAATAATAGCCTTATCAAAACTAAATTATAAACTAGACAACTAATCAATAGACTTATTCAAAATCCAAAGTCTAGCCTTTAAACTTGTCCGTGGACTAGTCCATAGGCTAGTCTATAAGCCAGTAAATAGTTTAGTCAATTGGATAATCCATAGACTAGTTAATACATCGGTCAATAGAAACATCTTTAGTCTATTCAGCAGGCACCAAAACGAAAAGTACTTTAGCACTTTTAATCCTAAAAAAGTACTATTTTTGGGAAAAGTTAGTACAATTACAAAATTTAAATTTTCTAATATAACCTGTCAAACAATCACCTAGAACTACCGGAACTTTTAGAAGTGTGCTCACACATACAGCTTCAACAAAACAATATAAAATTGGCAAAATTATAATTTTAATTAGTGCGCTCTTGTAACATTAAACATGCGATAGAGGGAATGAACAAAAACATACACAAACAAAATTTTATATTCTTTTTTAATTCTTTTAATTTTTATTTTTTCGGTTTCAAAGCATGTCATAAAAACATTTTCTTTCTTTCTTATCTTGTTTTCATAATCAAGGTTACAAAAACAATCTAGCACTAGAACAAAAAAAAAAAATAGAATCTTTGAACATAATTTAAACATCAGGAGAGAAAAAAACAGTGTGGCAGCAACAATCTTTTAAAGTAGCACGATTAAATTAGAAGAAAACAAACCCACCTAAAGTAATTATTCGAAAAACGTTTAATAAAAATTTAAGTATTCGAAATTTAAAAAAAAGTAAGCTTGTTTCAAAAAAGATGGAAAATTTTAAAACTTCAATTTCATGGGTCAATGTTGACATAATTGTTCAATTTAAATGTCAACTGAAATGTATGAACTTCCGTATTTAGCACTGAACTGACATACACAAGCATGTTAGTAAGTAAGAAGTCAAATTTTCTTTCTTTGTTTGAGTAGATGACAGGAAAGAAAATTAAAATTAAAAAGTGGTCCACACCGACTTTAAAAAACAAGGCCTTATAAGAGTCATAGATACATATATATAGGAGCTATGATCAATTATTAACCGTTTATCACAAAAATCCTGTAACGATAATGGACATGATACACAGTCTAAGGTCCGACGGACATCTTTAAATCCACTGAGAAAGTGATACTTAGTCGAATAGTTAGCTATTTGCTACAGGAGTAACAAAAATTATCACAAATGTATTTTAACCATTACATTACAATGGTGTAGGGTAGAAAAACTAGCAACACGACAGTACAATGACGATCACCTTCGTCAAAGTCAATGACACTGTTGCCTCAAATGTTTATTTCATACCGAAAGACCAGCCAGCCATCAGCTCAACAGCAACAGCTATTAAATAATGGATGAGAATAAAAGCATTTACATACACTTACACACATATAGTTATACGCATATGTATGAGTAGGTTTGTGTGTATTAACATGAATACCGTTACAAGTCAAAGTCATCGTGTTACATGTTCAAAATTTTGCTACAAATGAAGAGTGACATGAAACAGGATAATTCAGTTAAACGCGTTTACGGTTAACAACTCATTGTACCAGTATTTTCTACAGACAGACAGATAAATACACTTACTCGCTCATCTACATACATATGTATGTATATTGTTAGTAGTAGTTTTGTATTGTTTGTATCATTTTCCATATAAAATTGTGTATGTGTGTGTATGTATATAACTGAGTATGTCTTTGTGTGAATGAAGGTAATTTATGCATGTTATATAGTTGGTATTATACTATTCATGTACTCTTATCCTCTATAGTA